CGACTACTACTACTACTACTACTACTACTACGCCTACTACTACTACTACTACTACTACTACTACTACTAACTACCACTACTACTACTACTACTACTACTACTACTACTACTACTACTACTACTAATACGACTACTATCACTACGACCACTACTACTACTACTACTACTAACTACTACTACTACTACTAATACTACTACGACTACCTATACTACTACTACTACTACTACTACTACTACTGATATTACTACTACTACTACTACTACTACTACTGCTACTGCTACTGCTACTACTACTACTACTACTACTACTACAACTACTACTACTACTACTACTACTACGACGACTACTACTACTACTACTACGACTACTACTTACTACCACGACTACGACTACTTCTACCACTACTACGACTACTACTACCACTACGACGACGACGACTACTACTACTACTACTACTACTACGACTACTACTTCCTCTCCTTCTACTACTACTACTACTACTACTACTACTACTACTACGGCTACAACGAGTACGACTACTACGACTAGTGAAGCCTCCTCGCCCTCCCTCTTCCACGGGGGAGGAGACCGGAATGGGAAAGAGACTCATGGGATCGGCGAAGCTCATGGTACCCATCATGAACACTGCAGAGAGCGAGTGCGGAGAGCACCGAGGCGTATGCAACGCCATATGAAGCAAAGTGCGACTGGAAGAGATAGGTGAAGAAGTTCTCAGATAGAAGGCCACACGCTCCAAAAGGGTAAACAAGTACCAAACCTTACGCGATAACACGCAGTTAGAAAGGACCAACCACTACGACAACGGCGGCAATGGTAGCAGCATGGCAGGTGAGACAAGGCGGAGGGAGGCCTTCTCCACCTCCAGCTGCTTCATCATCTCCTCGCCCAATGAGCGGTGGATAAGTGGATGACTGGGGCAGACAGGAGGCAAGACAAATGGGGAGAAGAGAGAACGATTGAAAGGACGCGCGGTGCGTGCTGGGTGAGGAGATGGATGCGATGGCCAGTCTGTGCGTTCGCCTGCAATCAAAATTTACTATAGCGAAAAATGGCCACAAGAACATGGGTTAACAACGTGAGCCCATTCGCAGACGGCCCAAGACCTAGTGGAGATGCCCCAAAGGAAGAACGATCCAAGGCTGAGAGCACAAACACGAAGAATATAAGGGGCCCCTCCACAGCTAGGATTGCTCTCATGCCAGCTGTATGATCCTTGGCTGTATCTACTTCCTATGAGGAGGACAAGAAATCATGAGAAGCAGGTGCGAGGTTGGAAGAAGAGGGGTAGGGAGAGGAGGAAAAGGAATGCACGAGGAGGAGCGAGGGAGGATTGTGGAGAACAATGCGAATGAGCGCGCAAGGGCGCTGAACGTTCCACTGAGGTCTCGCGTGCTGCGGAGTGAAGTCGAACCCACACCGCTGGGAGCAGGGAGAGAGCAGGAGGGGGCCGTCTTGGAGCGCTTGTTGGCCGCGTTGGTCCCTCTGGGCTGTCGTAAGGGTCTCTTTGGGCTGCTTGGGGCCGTCGTACCCCTTCGGCCATAGTGAGCTCTTGTGGGGCCGCCTTGGGGTAACAAAGAACGTGTCTGCGGAGTCGCAGGCCATCTCGGGGCTGCCCTGGACCGTGTTGGACCCCTCCTGGGCCGGCGCGAGCTCTTCGGGAATGGGGTAAATAAGGCATCTCAGAATTTTGTTGAAAACGTGAGCCGTCTGGGATTCCTTTTGGGATCATATTTGTTGATTCTGCCACTTGAGATTGGCTGCCTTGGACCCCCTAATTGAACGAGGTTGGCTTCGCGGACCTCCATCAATTCCTGGGCCGTCTTGGAGACACTTGGATACATCCTGGAGGGCCTTCCTGGGGGAGGGTATCTTGGGGCCACCTTGGACCCCCGGAGAGCCCCGGAACCCCCATCGAGATGGCAGGTCCTGTCCTGGGAACCCAGGACCCGTCGCCTGGAATAATGCACATATAACATGCAAATGCACGTGAACATATACACATATAAATGCACATACGTGTACACACATACACCTGGACATATGTATAAACGTAGAGATGCATAGAGATTTGCATGTACAGATGCGGATGTGTTCATTTGCATGTGTATATATATATATACATATACATATCGATATATGTACATATACACATGTATACATATATGTATGCACATACGTATACGTACATGCATATACCTATGCATACACGAATACAAATAACTGTACATATCTACACACACATACACATACCGATTTATATGCAAGTACATAGACCTAAACACATACATATACAAATGCATATACAAATGCTTAGACATATACATATACACTTACATGCACATGCACATGCATATATACGTGTAGTCCAAAACACAGATACATATACATGTACTCATACATATACATATACACATACATGCACACACGCATGTACATACACATGTGTATAACCATGCACGTGTACACATACAAACGCGTATACACATGCATGCACATATGAACATACAGACACATATGCACATACATATACACATGCATAGTTCTACACAAATACATGCGCAAACACACATATACCTATACAGACCCGTATACATATACATATACATACCCATCTACATATACATATGCATACGCATGTACATATATGGAAAATATACATGCGTATTTAATGTTTAGAATACAATCAGATGTCCGAGTTACATAGATGTGTACATACATATCGATGTATAAAAATGTATGGCGAGTTCTCGTTTGCTGTCACCATCGATTGGTCTTCAGCACACGGGCAATCCCAGCAACAACTCCGTCAATGTCGCACTCAAACGTGGCGCACTTACGCACGGGTGACCTAAAGTCAGGGTATCTCGAAGCCAGGGATTCGGAGGACGTGTAAGGCGAAACGGGCCTGAGCACCTCGCGAACACGTCTTGGAACCCAGAGTTATGAGAACGTCTCAAGCGAAACGGGCCAGAGCACCTCAATTCTGGGCATATCGCAGTAGACCAGTGTTCGGAGGATGCCTCAGGCGAAACGGGCCTGAGTACGTCGCGAACCACATCTTGGAACCCAGAGTTGTGAGGATGTCTCAGGCCAAAACGGGAGCCACATCTTGGAACCCAGAGGTGTGAGTCGAGAGGATGTCTCAAGCCAAGCGGGCCAGAGAACCTCAAGTCAAGGCACAACGGAGCCCAGGGTTCCGAGGATGTCTTAGGCGAAACGGGCCTGAGCCCCTCGCGAATCGCATCTTCAACCCAGAAGTCCGAGGACGTCTCAGGCCAAGCGGTCAGAGCCGGGAACCGAGGATGTCTCAGGCGAAACGTGCCTGTGCACCTGGCGAAGCACATCCTGGAACCCAAAATGGTGAAGACGTCTCGAGCGAAACGGGCCAGAGCACCTCAATTCAGGACATCTCGAAGCCTGGGACCCCTCCGTGGGCCGTGGGGCGCACCCAGTCTCTCTTTTGAGTGCAGCCCCTGCCTGGCACCTGCCCCGCACCGCCGGTGGGGCCGCCAGTGGGGTTGCCGGGGTCGCCCGGAGCTGCCCCGGGCGACCAGGGCACCCAAGCTCATCATCATCATCATCATCATCATCATCATCATCATCATCATCATCATCATCATCATCATCATCATCATCATCATCATCATCAATGTCGCCAGGAGCTGTCCCAGGCGACCCGGGCATCCAGGCTCCCTAGATGGGGCCCAAAACGGCCGCAAGAGCCCACCGAATTTGCCAGCGAAGCTTACGGCTCCAAAACACCTCCATCCCGTAAAACAAACAGACCTTTCGAAGCATCCCCACAACTGGGCGCGAACGGGCCCGTGGCACACTTTTCGTCGGGAGAGCACCGGTCCGCATCACCAGGCACGATCGACCCGCGTCCAGCCCTGGCGACGGGAAAGGTCCCGAGAGTATTGAAAACAAGAGTTCTTGCCTGACAACAATTCAGACATCCTGCTACTCCTCCTGCTCCTCTTCCCCCTCCTCCTTCGCTTCGCACTCCTCAACGGGTGCTCGGAATTACGGTGACGTCTCATGCGAAACTGGCTGGACCCTCTCGCGCGCGGCATCTCTTTGCCCAGAAATACGGGGACATCTCAGGCGAAACTGACCTCAGGGAACTGACTCAGGAGTCTTTGCCCGGATCACCTCGCGGGCGGCATACTCAAGCCTAGCATAGCGACGATGTCTCGAGCGAAACGCACGAGGCAACCTCAGGTCACGGTATCCACGAACCCAAAAAATCTGAGAACGCTTCGCGCGAGATGGGCCGGACCGCCTCTCGCGCAGCGCCTGGGAGCCCAGGGTTGCGAGGCCGCCTCGAGCGAAACGGGCCGGACCGTGCCAAATCTGGTCGCCCAGGAGCGCAGACTTGTCGGGACGCCGGCCGTGAAACGGGCCCCGCGCGCGGGCCCCTCGGGCGGCAAGCGCTCCTGCCGCGCAGGAGTGCCCCCCCCCCGCACCGGCCGGGCAACCCGAGAGCACTCCGAGACAAAAGCTGTGCTGAACGGACGCAAACGATCCCAGGGGAACAAAAAGTGGCACAAGCATAAAAACTCGGAGGTCCGCGCGGATTTCTCGGATCGGCGCTGGACCCCCCTCCCTGGCGCCCCCCGCGGCGCCTCCGGCGCCGCCCCTAGCGCGCTCCGCGCGCCAGGGAGGGGGGTCCAGCGCCAATCCGAGAAATCCGCGCGGACCTCCGAGTTTTTATGTTTGTCACTTTTTGTTCCCCTAGATAAGTTCCCAGACGTGCATCCTGGAAACACGCATGCAACTGAATGCCCACCAACAGCTAGGCATCCACACACGGGCGCATACAACAGGCATGCCGGCGACGGAAAGACAAACGAAGCCTCCCTCGCCCAGTCCGGCCATGCAGCGTGGATCTGGCGTCCTGGGACCGTCTGAGGTCCCCAACCATCTCCGGGAGAAGGGACAGGTCGACGACGACTCTTCGGAGCGACTCTCTGGGCGGGGGGAGGGGCGCGAGTCGCAGGAAGAAGACTATAGCGAGGGAGGAGACTGGCAGGAGGGAGGAGGAAGGGCGGCGCGACCAGCAAAATGCAGCTGGGGCTCGGCCGCGCCGCCTGCCCCGCAGGGCCCGCCGGCGCAGCAGGGCCCGCCGGCGCAATGCAGGGGATCGTTGGCGCAGCAGGGCCCGCCTGGCCAGCTGGGCCGCCTCCCTCCGCCGGGCCAAGGCGCTGTTGCAGGCCAGCGTGCGCGGGTGCTCCGGCCCCAGCGGCCGCTCGCGGGCCTCCGAGGCCCGCCGGCGCAGCGTCCCTGACGACCTCGGCTGGCCGCGGTCCTGCAGCAGCGAGGCCAGGTTTCCAGCACAGATCAGCGTCTGCGGGTGCTCTGGCCCCAGCGTCCGCTCAGAAGCCTCCAGGACCCGCCGGAACAGCGGCTCCGCTTCCTGCAGCTGGCCGCGGGCCTGCAGCAGCGAGGCCAGGCTGCCAACAGAGGTCAGCGTGTCTGGGTGCTCTGGCCCCAGCGTCCGCTCGCGGGCCTCCAGCGCCCGCCGGTTCAAAGTCTCGGCATCCCTCAGCCGGCCGCGGTCCTGCAGCAGCGAGGCCAAATTGCCAACAGAGGTCAGCGTGTCCCGGTGCTCCAGACCCAGCGTCCGCTCAGAGGCCTCCAGCACCCGCCGGTACAGCGGCTCCGTTTCTTGTAGCCGACCGCGGGCCCGCAGCAGCGAGGCCTGACAGCTAACGGCGATCAACGTGTCTGGGTGCTCTGGCCCCAGCATCCGCTCCCTACGCTCGAGCACCGCGCTGCCCTGCGCCAAGAGCACATTACCCAGCCGTTGCGCCGCATCGACGGCGTCCCTGTGGTGCTCCCCGAAACGCTCGGAGGCAGCTTCGGCGCGCGCGCGCAGAGCCACCACCAAGCGCGAGCGGGCGCCCTCCACCTCCACCTCTGGGACACCCTGCACGCGCAGCACCACGCAGCACCTGCGCGGCTTGCCTGGCTCGTCCAGCAGCTTGCCGGCGAGACTTTCCCCTGCGCGCTTGCCCGCCGCCTCCATCTCGGGCGTAGGCCTCACGGAGACGTCGTAAAGGCTGTCGGGCAGGGCAAGGATGGGGACGCAGAAGGCCACGCGGGGAGGGTACTCCTCGTTCACGAACGCTCGACCTTTGCTGACCACGTCTCGGGCCATCATATTTCGGAAGTTGTTGTCCAGGATCTCCGCCACGGAATCCCACTGGTGCGGCGCGAGTGGCACGGTGTACACTCCTTTGCCCCACCATGCATTCGCGCCCTCGCCCTCCGTAACAAGCGAGGCCCAGACTTCTTCGGCCTCCCTTTCAGGAGCCGTGATACAATCGAAAGCGATGGGCGACGTGTAGTGGAAGACAACGCGGGCGCTGGCGCGCCCGCCAGACAGGTCGATGGCATCGCGCCACACCCGAATGCCCGTGCCGCGGTGCTCCCAGCAGTGGCCATCCGCAACGCAATAGTCGGGGTGCTCAAAAGCGCCGCCCCAGTGGTAGCCTCTCTCGAAGAAGCGTTTCAAATTCGCTGGGCCAAGGGGCCAACGGCATACTAGGATTGACCGCACGAGGTTCAGAATACCATTGTGTTAGCACATTTGCGCGGGCGCGTCGCGACCCCCAAGGTCCACGGGGGGAACTACCGTGGCAACGTCACGAAAAACCATGGGGCAACGCCCCTGCTACACACAGGCAACACTAGGGCAACCCCCAACAAAGTCGGGTCAGAGATGGTTGTGCTCCTCGGCACGTTCTGAGGGGCCTCTGGAGCGCCCCCTAGAGCGCTTTAAGAGAGCTCCAAGAGAGCCCAAGAGCGGCCCAGGAGAGAGGACCCAAAGGTTAAAGAGGTTTCCGTAAGGAAAACTCAAGACAGCCACGAGGTGGTCCAAAAAGGTCGAATGCAGCCACCAATAGGGCCTGAAGAGGATTCAAAAAAAAGGGCTTCAAGGCCTCTGACAAGCCCCCGCGAGCGTTGAGTAGAAGGCCATGACAACTGCAAGAGGGCCCCAGGGTGGCCCAAGAGCGGGCACCAAAGGGTGGCAGGCCCCTACATGGCCCCGAAACAGCCCCAAGGTATTTCCAAGACGGCCCCAAGATAGCCCCGAAGTAGCCCAAAATGGTCCAAGACGGCCCCCAAGAGGCCTGCAGGAGGCCGGAATCATTGTAAAAACCGGACGGGTTTGGGCTTTCTCGCCCTTTCGCTGCCAATGGGTCTAAGTCTAAAGATAGCGCCAAAATCGCCCACGAAGAGACCTCCGGATACCCTTGCGAGCGCCCCAGTAGAGGCCCAAAACAAATCTAATAGGCACACGGGGCGGACATCAACAGGTGGCAGGCCCCCACCAAGACGGCCCCAAAACAGACCCACTATGCTTCCAAGACAACAAAAAAAAAACTCCTGCATAACTCCTAAGTGGCCCAAGATATCCCAAGACAGCCCACAAAAGGCATCCATTAAGCATATATATATATATAAACGGTTATACACGTTTGCTCCGTATGCGATTCAGAAAGATCGAAATGGCTGTCGTGCCGACCCAAACGACCTCAACGACCCCAGTTTCCTACGCATTTGGGCACAGTGCTCTCGCGCCGACCCCATTGACTTTGTCTCACCGAAACACGGAACAGAGAACATCTGAACCACCCTGATTGTATGGCACCCTGGAGACTGATAGCGTTGAAACACCACGGGCAAAGACCCGCCTGGCGAATGACCCAACCATTTGCAGCTGCGAAACCGAATGACAATGAAACACAGGAGGGTGCGAGCAAACTGCGAATACCGTGGGGTGCGGTGCGGCCCTCTCCCCAAGGGAAGCCCGCCACAGAAAGGACGAAGCGCGGGGCAACGTCGCAGAAAAGCGGGCCCTCCAACTGGGGCCTTCGGCGGAGTTCCCTCGGGGACCACTAAGCGTGAGGGATGTACCGAAATGAGCAGGTTGAGGCCGCTGCTGATGTTGATGCTGAAGCTGACGCTGATGCTGACGCTGATACCGATACTCGCGCGGCCGATCGTGATAATAGTGTCGATGGTGATGGTTATTGTGATTAGGCTGCGGACACTGGGGATCGTGATGATGCTGATGCTGATGACTACGTGTATAGCGCTAGAAACAAAATAACGATGATGATGGTGGCATTGATGATGATGGTGATGGCGATGGTGATGGTAATGTTGATTTTTGTCCAAGTCCGATATAGGCCCCCTGAGATCCCAAAACTGAAACAGAATCACAGACACTGCAAGGCATCTCTGGAACCACGGTCGCGAAAGGCAGCTATGTGACTGCCCCCCACGAGTTCCCATCGGAGACGCTCTGAACACCCCTTGCGACACCAAGAAACAAGCATACGTCTGGTCACGGCGCATTGGCCCCCGCATTGGCACGGGAAGGCTCCAGAGGCAAGGCGGCCCCCACCGCCCATGGACCCCTGCTGCAAAACACTCAGATGCCTGACACAGAAGCCCCATTCAATCGGAGGTTGGGGGGTTGGAACGGAGCGGCCCCAGCCGAGTGATCGGTTTCGGTTTCGGTTCGTGTCGCGTGCGCCGGCGAGGCGAACCTGCGCGAGTTCCTGCAGTGGTAGGGGCCATATATTGCCAAAAAGACCGCCCCCCCCCCCCGAACGCCGGGCGTGGCTCCCTGTTGACCCGACGGTTGTCCCGGAAGTTGCCCCGATGGTTGTCCCGATGGTTGTGGTTGTCCCGATGGTTGTCCCGATGGTTGTCCCGATGGTTGTCACGATTGTTGTCCCGATGGTTGTCCCGATGGTTGTCCCGATGTTTGTCTCGATGGTCGTCACGATGGTTGTCCTGATGGTTGTCCCGATGATTGTCCCGATGGTTGTCCCGAGGGTTGTCCCGACGGTTGTCCCGATGGGTGTCCCGACGGTTGTCCCGATGGTTGATAGACAAATACATAGATAGATGGATGAATAGAGAGAGGTGAATAAATACTGGGATATTGAGAGATACAGAGATAGAGGCGTATATGCCTATATAGAAAAGAAAGGGATGTAAACATAAATATATGTGGATTAACGAGATGTGCACATATATACATGTATATGCACACCTAGTTAGTCATATATAAATATATAGCATTGCACTCCGCCATTTTTCATCCAGGCCAGCAGCGATATGTCGTGGCGACAGACCTTCGCCCTGAGAAGGCTGGAGCAAGCGACTCATAAAACACAACCCTCTGGACCGGTCTCAGAGATACTAAACTCCAGAAAAAGTTACAGGGGATCATAGGCGGGGCGGGCGGGCTCTGGGAGCCTTGAGCCCAAACGGGTAAGGACATGGAGAGCAAGAGTCATCCTCACGGATTCAACGGCCATCCTCATCGGCCTCTGCTCAAAGCTAAAACGATACCAAGGTGATCTACCAAGCATTGCACTCCGCCCTTTTTCATCCAGGCCAGCAGCGATATGTCGTGGCGACAGACCTTCGCCCTGAGAAGGCTGGAGCAAGCGACTCATAAAACACAACCCTCTGGACCGGTCTCAGAGATACTAAACTCCCGATTTGCCGTAGTTACAACTGGAGGCACCGGATTAAAGGTCACAGTAGCCATATATTTCAATTGCAGCCAGGGCGTCTTTAAAGCTATGTGCTAGAGCATGACACAAGGCACGAGGGTAGGGCTCGGCAATTAAAGTTCGGAAAATACCATTAGACTTTCCGGACAACTCAACGTGGGGCTTAGTACTGTAGCTACAAATGCCGCGGCCAGTGCAGAGGCGAGAGCATCTGGACAAATCGACGTGCACGCTCACGATCCTAGTTTGTTTGCGCCACGGCATATTGAAACCACAAAAATCGGTTCGGATGCTACGCACGGGGCTGAGGCGGCAGGCGGAAGCCATCGGTGGGCACAGCCATATCCTGCTGGTCGAGGGATTCTCCAACGCACATGGTATGATGAGACGAGCACAGAGCCTCAAGACGGATGCCGAGAAAGTCATGAGCACGTTCCCGATTCGAACTTTTTCACGGTCCACGGCCGAGAGATCGGGGAGCCCCAGAGGTTCAGAATCGCTTCTTAGACGAGGAGGCCCGCCACCCCGATCGCGGGCACGAGAAAAGCTCGAACACGGGGTCCCCATCCAGACTGCAATAACCTGTGACGCCAGCAACCATCCTCGCACACGTTTTTGCACCTTCGGTAACGTCAAATCAGATTGCTCACCATGGCGAATGTCGAATTCAATGATAGGCAATCCCACATGCCGTCTCCAAGCAGCTGAGGAATCTCCAGTCCCTGAAAATACCTCTATAGCGAACCGCACCTGAATGTGATTGGCCCTCAAGAACGGCAGGACCTGCTCATGATGGCGCCAATCTCGGAGGCGCACCTTGCCGTTGCGAGCTGAGCGCCGTGCGGCAGGAAGCGCAACTGCTCCATCAGGCGGCCTGCCTTCTGGTAGCGCCGCATCGAGCTCGACTGGGCCCACCCGCCGCGGTGCTGCACGCCTAGCGGGCTCTGGCGGCCGAGGCTGATGACGAGGCTTGCGCCCGCAGGGTGGAGGAGCACCGTCCACCTTGAGTGGTCCTTGACTCCGCTTGGCAGCGGCGGCACCAGCTAGCAGCGGCGCAGACTGAGGGCCTCGCTCGGCTTCAGGTAGAGCACCACGTACAGCAGCATTGCCACCGCCATGGGCCACCGGTCGCTGCGGACCAGCCAGTCGCTCAACAGGCAGAACACCAGGCGCGAGTCCAGGCTGGAGCCCGCCCCCTCGAACCACTGGTAGTCGAAGAAGTCCCCGAGCGCGTCGTCGACTTGCTTCTCCGACTGGAGAGGGAGGAGGCGGAACCGTGCCCAGTCCTCGAAGCTCTCCCAGCTCTCCGGGTACAGCTGCTGGGTGCGTGGCCGGACGTTGGTTGCCTGGAGGTAACTCAGCCTCGCCAGCTCCGGAGCCCTCGTAGCAGCCGAGCCCCGGCGGGCAACCGCGCGAGCAGCGGCACGTCGGGCCTGCGGCTGCGCCCGGCGCCGCGCCGGCACCAGCGGCCCGACCCCCTCCAGCGTGTGGCCCCTCGGCAGGGCCGCGGCGGGCGTCGATCCCCTCATGCCCCGAAGAGCCGGGTCTCGCGCTCGCGGCCTGCCAGCGTGGGCCGACGCCATGTGGGGCACCTCGGGCAGCGGCTGCGCTGCCGCCCCGTGGACCCTGGCCGAGGTCGGGGCACGCGGCAGTGCTGCCAACTCCACGCCTGGCGACGGCGGCCGGCGGCAGCAGCCCCCTCCGCGAGGGAGCATCAGCAGGATTCTCCTCGCTCGAGATCCACCTCAGGTAGACGGAACATCCCGACACAAGCGCCAGTGCAGCCCAGCGCCGGACAACTCGGAGCATCCCGGGCGCGGACGTTCGGCCCTTGCTCAGAGCCAGAACAGCCGACATCGAGTCGCTGAGGATGAGAACACGCTTATGCCATGTCTGACTGTTCCGTAGCATGTGTCGAAGTCCCCATAGGGCAGCTCTGGTCTCCAGAACAGGAATACTCTCAGGACGATCCCAAGCTTGCGACCTCACTGTCCTCCAAGGGCCTCCGACAAGGGATCGAGGCACGAGGTCGACCCCCCGCTCCAGCCGGGCGCAGACGTCCACGCCCTCCGGCACGTTAGCGTTCTCTGCCTTCTCCCCCGTCACCTTCGCCTCCTCGATCCGCTCCCGGGCCTGCTCACGGGCCCCTTCTCCACCCTCCTTGAACCTCCAGGCCTCTGAAAAGCTCATGGCGTGCTTCACGTCGGCCTCCAGGCCCACGGCCCCCGTCACCCCAAGACCCCACTCAGAAGCGTCAGTGGCCAGGACACGCGTGTAGATGGGGGCGCACAGGTCCCGGGAGCAGAAGCAGATAAGACACGGAGCCCACCGCAACTCACGTCGAACCACATCCCAGACTCCAACGCTCTCCCCACGATGGCGCCCGATGAAGGCATACACCCCGCTGAACACCGACAGGAGCTCCCGATGAAGAAGAAACAGATGAGTGCAGTGGCCCACAAGAACCTCGACTTGCTTCCCGCTCAGGTAGCGCAGACGCGAAGCGTGTTGAAGTGCAAGACGAAGACGCCACACCCTTCTCTCTTTTCCGATCACCAGGGGGCGGTCACTCGAGAACATCCAGCCGAGAGCTTCGCCTCCTGGCCCTGCCTCAACGGGATGAGCTCGCAGGCCCACACGCTCGAGCTCGGTCGCAACTCCTTCGGCCGCTGACCGAGCCTTTCCTGCAGACTGAGAGAAGGCCACGAAGTTGTCAACATACGCTGCGTGTGCAACTGGTCGTAGGTCAGGGGGGGCTCGGTGGCCCTGGACGCGGGAGTCGTTGCTGAGGCCCGGGACCCGATCACACGCAGCTTCCAGTACTCTCTGACACCAGTTGAGGGCATGCGTCCAACCCATCGCCAGCACCTTCAGCCTTGGGAAGATCCACGTGTTCGGTCCTACGGAGGCCCCCTCTACAGTACAGGTGACACCTACGCGTCCCGCCCGAACCCTCCCGAGATCAAAGTAGGGCCTGAGGGGCTCGGGCAGGGCCATCTGGTAAAAAGCATCCTGGATGTCGGTTTGGCCCAACTCAAGGGCCAGGTCGGCCGCGGCAAACAAACGTGAAAAAGAATCCCCCGAGGCAAGACGAGTTTTCGGCGGATCCTTAAACCAACAGTTAGACTTACGGGCGTCGATGATTAAACGCTGGGCCATGGTTTTCTTCCAGACCGAAAAAAAGGCCACACTGCTCTTTTACTTCTAAACCGAATTCAAGCATCCCACGTTGAGCTAGAGCCCGGATGACACGCTCATATTCACGAGGACGGTGGAGGAGAGGATCGAGGTAGGGGCGCTGAGGGACCCCGTTCGAGCTCAAACGCTCGCCCGCCTGATCCTTTGGCACGAGGTAGTCTTCAACAAACTTCTCAACTTCATCGCGGCCATTCTCGACAAGACCCTCCAGGTCCTGGGGCACCCCAGCAGCAGGAAGACTGAGAAGGTCAAGGTTCAGAGGGGCCACAGAAACAGGGGACCCCTGATAGCTGTGGGACGCCTGGAGCTCTCGAAAGGCCCCCCGGCAGGTGAGGTCGGCGGGAGGCTTTCCCCAACGGGCCACGCACTCACGAACGTGCGTCAGCCCGAGGTCGTGCACAAGAGGCCTGAATTGCGCCGGCGAGGCCTTGTCGGTGCCGACACCGACAGGCTCACTGGCGGGAGTGTCCTGGTAGCCACCGAGCTCGTTGAGCGCCCGCGCCACGTCAGACTCCCAGTCGGAACGGTGCTCTCTGGCCTCCACACGTCGTCGTACGGATCGCGACAGAGACTCCCAGCCCTCATCACGCCGAGCGCGCACATGAACAGCCAAGGGAAGAGCGTCGCGCTGGGCCACAAAACTCGCACGACCACCTCGATCGTGCTCCCCCTCATGTGTGAAGGCCAGCAAGGTGGGGTCGCCCTCTGGCCGCGGCTCATCACGCGCCATCCTTGCACGAGAGTTTGTTCTCCTCCCGCGCCTTCTTCATCTGCTCGGTAACCCAGACGTCTCGGCCGATCTCTTTCGAAACCCATTTCACCAACCCGGGGCAGTTCATCACCTCCCCGCCTAAGCGGTGCGAGTCGGAGAAGCAGGCCGCCTCGTCGCGGGTCACCCCCTGCGCCTGCTTGTTCGCCTTGCTGCCTTTGTTCGCCTTCTCGTAGTGAAAATCTTTCACCTGGCACCGCCTCATGATCACTTCGAGCCTGACCCGATTTGGAAAGTCAATCTGGCCGTACTCCCCGAAGAACTTGAAGGCCTGCATCCCGTGACCATGCTCCTGAACTCTGAAGTACGTGTTGGACAGCTTCAGGCTGGCCATCCACCCGCGGTGGTGGTCCATGGGATCGCCCCCGCGGCGGTCCACGAATTGTACGCACCAGAGCACCGTACGCGGCCTCGGCTCGGGCCAGTCCTCCAACTCGACCTGCTGCACCTTCACCGACACCTCGCGCCACACCCGCTGCCTGACCCCCCGGCTGTCGCACTGTACGCCCACCACGCAGGCGCCCGAGCTCGAAGCCGAAGATCCCTTCGCATCAACGTAGTCCGATGGCGTCTCGTCCATGCGCAGGCCCTCCACGAAGACCCTCTCGGCCGAGCAGGGAGCTGGCTCCAGCTCCATCCGCCCGTCGGGCGAGATCAGCGCGTCCGACGGCATCGCCACATCGTCGCCGACTGTGACCCCCAGGGACCCGTTGGCCACGACGATCACCCAGCGGCCCTCGGGCGCGGCGGGCGCACGGACCACACGGTCGCGCCCCCTCGGGGTGAGAGCCCCACGGACCTCCCCCGCCGCGCCTACGTCGACGACCGGGCCAGGCACGGGCTCGACGCCGAGGTCTCCGCCGTCGGCTCCGCCAGGTGGGTGAACCACTGGGCCGCGGCTACACTCCTCCGAGCTGGCCACGCAGCCGGTCTCGTCAAGCAACCTCTCCCACCGTCGTCCCTGGGGGAAGGTTCCGAACTTGTAGGTGCTCTTAACGCCGAGCTCAATCGGCACGCCCCTCAGCACCGTCTCCCACGCCGCCGCCACTGTGTCCAGGTTCCGGTAGAGCTGCAAATCCACGAAAGGCACCCACCAGCTGCACGACGCCACGTCACACGAGCACTCTTCGCCTGCCTCGCAGGCCGAACACGAGGGCGCCCGAGGACACTGGGTCGCGTGGCACGTCGGGCGCCGCAGGTCAGGGCAGTGCAGATTTGGACAGGCAAGGATCGCCGGCCACGAGAGGGTCGGGCAGCTCGGCACCGGCGAGCACCGGAACAGCCAACCGTGAGTCGCCTGTGAAATACTGGCGACGACTGTGACCAGCAGCTCCGATGCCATCCGTCGCGCGTCAGAAGGCGCGCTCAGAGCCTTGAGCCCAACCGGGTAAGGACATGGAGAGCAAGAGTCATCCTCACGGATTCAACGGCCATCCTGATCAGCCTCTGCTCAAAGCTAAAACGATACCAAGGTGATCTACCAATATATATATATATATATATATATGCGTGTGTGTGCGTGTGTCAAACGTATAGCTGTGTATATAGATGCGTCTGTACATGAATGCATATAGAGCGGTAGAAAAAATGGGTGGATATGTATACACGCAGATATATACCTAGAACGATAGACATATAAATAGGAGAGAGAGAGAGATATAGAGAGAGATGGATGTCCCGACGGTTGTTCCGGTAGTTGTCCCGATGATTGTCCCGATGGTTGTCCCGATGGTTGTCCCGATGGTTGTCCCGATGGTTGATAGATGACGAGACCACCAAAGAACCTAGAGCCATCGCAAATCGAACGCCCCCCCCTCCCCCCCAACTTCCTGATCACCCGTAGGGTGGTCCTATCGTGTATTATATGTATGTGCCCGCTCACGAATGTGATTATCCCTCACCCTACCGCCGCTCGTCACGAACAACATCGAATTGTGCGAACGTACGTCTCCGCGCCTGGCTCCTATCATTCGCCCAGCTTCACTTCGCCCTGCACCACATTGCGAATGCTGGGGTTACGCGGCGGAGACCCGCGCTCGATCTCTACCTCGGGTCTCATGGCATTGGCCTCCATTATCTCGTTGGTCACCCCGCGCACAACTGGAATGACCATGAACTCGACATTGCAGAGATCCTTTACCTTCCAGGACATTTCCAGCAGCACGATGAACCCTGCCCTCGAGGATTCCCACATCCGCCGACGCCGCGCGGTACGCAATCAAGTTTTTGTTTCTGAATGTCGGGCACTTACTTGTCGTTGTTCACTCCGCTGACCGGCTCCTCCCAAGCGCGAACGTGAGCAAGAACGACGGCGGCAATATCATCCTGACTCTGGGCGGTTCTTCTTCGCGGACTCGTACTGATTGGCACCCTCCCCCATCGGTTCAAGGTACGGGTGCTACTTGGCCACGATCGCGACCTGCGCCAGCCTGTTGGACCCGTCGAGGCCGACTGCACTCTTGGCCGCGTGGATGGCCAACTCCCTGATATCCTGATCCATGGTCGACGACCTGACGGCGCGGCGCTTGGCGGCCAGCCTCTCATTTGGCCATTAGCAGCGTTTCCACATCTAAGACCTTCTCGAAACACAGGAAAGACACCAGCTGGATAGCGTTCTGAAATATGCGCGCGCAGCTCCACACGAGAAGAAGAAGCCGACGTGCAGCCGACAAGGCAAGCAACCCCAAAATTCGCGAAACGGCCACGTCCTAAGCAACTCGGCGGCCCGTTTTCCCTCGAGCGTCAAGATGCCGACGGACACTGTTCATCGTAGCAAGAAATATGTCACACCACGAATGTTGGCTACAGTATGCGGCCTGTCTCCAACGCCCCCTTGTTTGCCGATGCTGGGTTTGGCGTGCTTTAATTTGCCGAAGCAGATAACACGTGCACGCACAGAGTCCCCCATTGGCATCCATCCTGTCACACACGAAAATCCCAGGCCCAGGCGTTACACTCATACTGGGCTCGGGTACTGCATCGCTTCGCAAAAAAAGGCCCCAAGGACGCCGAAAAATACTCGAGCCCAGATCAAACGATCTGAAACACCCACCCCTTTCCAAAACCTCGCGCGCCCTAGAATTCAATCTCCCCGGAACCTTGATATTGCCCCCTGAACCTGTACCACGGGTTAGCACGATGACCAGGCGTACATTTGGAAGTAATCTGTTTACGCCCAACTCCGCAACGCCCCGTGAGAGCAGCCAGAAACGCAACGTTATCCTGGAAACTACTGGCATCTGTTCCATTAAATCCATGCCAGCCCGCGGAAGCCAAGTGCAATCCGAGCCGCGGGCAACGCCAAGATCAACCGAATCTGAACAATAAACATGGCACTTACCACAGGCCGCACCATGATGATACGGCACCGAAAAGGCTGCCTCTGATCGTCGTGTTCGTTGACACTCGCGCCGCCCATCAGCAGCAAGCGACCATTGATCAGAAAAGCTCTGGCCAGGTTGATCGTAAAGCTGTCGCATGGGAAACCATGCCTCCCCTTCTGAAAAATGAAATTTGCACATCATGCCGGGAAATACAAAACGTTTGATCGTCATAGGTACCCCTTCTGTCCCCAAAAGTGCCCCATTGCCGCCCATCCGTTACGTGTCATCCTCTGTCCTTACCCATATTCATGATGCGCCAACCCGTCCGTCTGATGGTAAGATCGAAGGAGTCGAACCACCTTGCTTAGCTCTTCCTGGAACCTGCAACTCTCGATAGGAAACCCTCGTTTCAGTCGGAGCAAGTTTACCACTTGTCCTGTGCAAAATTCATTGTTTGTCCGTTTTTGATTCTTGTTCAGCGGGTCAGCCACTTAGGTCTCAAGCAAGCCATCCCATGTCTTCATCTGTTCCACGGCCTCCAAAGAGCCCTCACCTAAACCGACTAAATGGTCGGCGTAAGATGCCCGTGAAAAATCTACTGCAATACTTGCAAACAGCTCCGCGGCCAAATAAAACTATCGTTCAGACTCGGCGCGCGAGCTTTTGACCCACAGACCGACCGCCAGGTCAAAAGCAGGCAGGAAGCGACCTGGCGCAGACCGATCACCTTGCAAGTCCCCGCACCATAACGCAAACAAGCTCCACTCCCTCGAATCGGCCTGCACCAAAGCTAAAGCGCGCCTGTGCCCACATATTTCCAGGACTGCATCCTCGGGGTCGAGAGACTCGTTTTTTTGCACAAGCAACAATTGATGTGCGTTAGCAACCGCATCGCCTCAGCGGGTGCCTGTGCCAAGGCACGCGCGGGCTGAGGACCTTCTCCCAGTCGTCAGCGCCTGCTTGCGCAGCGTCAGTGATGACACCTTGAAGCGCCCCCTGGAATTCTGCGACGCTGAACGACGACTCCACGATGTCCGGCGGCAACCTGTTGTATATCGAGACCAATCCTAGCAGCGAGTGTTTGATGTAATCTGCAGGGCGCGAGTTGGGAAACACGAAGTCGGACCAGTGCCCGTCGGAGTATTCGATAAGCTGAAAACGATGTCGCCGCTGCTTGTTCGCTCCCGTCTGCGGGTCGAGCCTGAAGAACTGCTTGAAATGCCCTGGACCCTTCCCCGGGACAGATCGGTGAATCAGGCCGAGCATTGCCATGTCTCGTCTTGAAGACAAGGGCGCCAGCTTGAACGCCAGGAGTGCCTCCGCTTTGCTTGCCCCGGCGGCCTTGGTCAGCTTGTCTTGGACATGGTCCGAAGCCTCCAGCGCCGACTTGCAAGCATGGTAGATTGCGGCAGTCCTGCACTCGATGAAGGACAGAATCTGCGCTTTGTAAAGCAGGACCAACTGCGCTCCAGAGTTACATTTGCGAATCCTCAAAATCGCTTTCAACTTCCAACGGCAATCCTTCGCCAGCTGGAACACCGAGTCGGCCATGGTGAGCTTCGCATCAAAGCGCACGCCCAATAAATCGAACGCCTCCCCGCGCGGGTGGGTCCTGGACAGAATATGTTTGGATTCCTTGCTAGGATTCTAACTTTCTGATTGGCTCCGCGGAATCAGCGTAAAAGACATTCCACAACATTGGGCCCCAGACATCGCCCTGGAACACCATGTTGTCCAGCAAGAGCTCGATTGACTTGCAGCCTCCGACCACAACTTAAGCTCTCCGTACGCCGAGCCACGATCTGAACAGCTGCAAAACCTCCGTCGGCGCCCCTCTCGCAGCCAACTTCCTGACCAGCCTGTCGACGAAGACCCTGTCGAAGGCAGCGGACACGTCGGACATGCACAATGCAACGTTCCGTTTTTCCCGGAATGCTGTCAGCCAAGACAAAACGAGAAATGCCGAGGCGTCCCGGGCGCCCCTGCCTCGACTGCAAGAAAACTGATGCCGGCCAATACTTGATTCTGACATGAACACAGGGCAGAAGACCGGCTGCAGGAACCTCCCGATGACCTTCGCAAGCTGCGCAGTGAGGTGAACGCCCCGGTAGTTCTTTGGATCAAACACGGCCTTCTTCTTGTATATGGCAACGATCCAATGGATACCCCAACTTGCAGGCCACACCGCTTTGGTAAGAATCGCTACGCCCAGCAAGTACACAGGCAGCGCAAGCGACGCCGAGTATCTCTTCAAGATTCTCGTCGGAAGCAGGTCTGGGCCAGTAGCGCTGTCTTCCCGTAGAGCACGCAATACAGATTCGGCGCCCTCTACGCTGAGAGTGGCCGCCGGGTCTGTGGCCCACGTCGCCTCCACAGGGCGAATGCACGAATACTCATTGTTTTCTCGATCTGGCAATTGAAACTTGTCGCTGCAAGTTTGAGCCCAAAGATTCGCCTTCCCAGTCGAGCCCCTGGCCCACTCACCTCCAGGCAGTCTGAGTGCTGGGATTGCGCTCGGCCGTGCTTTTTGGAGTTGCAGTTGCCGCTCCGTCCTCCACCAATTTTTCGAACCCCTCTTCATGGAATTCAGCTCGTCTCTCACCTTTCCACACCATTGGTTGTACTCCTCAACAATGGTGTTGCTGCATTCCGTTGCAAACTCGGCCTCCTGTGCGCCCCCCTCCGCCTTTCGCTTGGCCTCAACAGCTTTGATTACTCTATCGTTCAACCATGGGTGCGTCGACTTCTCCTCGGTAATCCACTTTGTGTGGATACAATGCCGAGCGCACTCCAAAATACACTCCGCCATCTGGACTGCGCCGCGCGCCGGATCAGCACAAGACAGAAAACTCCAGTCCACGTTCACCAAAAACGCGTTGAGTTCGTGCCAATCAGCGTCACGGAAATGCCACACTTCCCTTCGAACGCAATGCACCCGAGGAACTGGCATAGACGAGACGAGCTCTACGACGCTATGGTCTGCAATTTTCGGCAGCACTGCAGTTTTAATGCCGTCGATGTCCGTGAGCACCAAATCAAGCAAATGTGGGCCACGGGTTGGTTCACGGATTACCTGACGCAGGCCCATGCCGGCGGTCGTCGACCGCAGTTCTCCCCCCTTCTGGCGACGTATGTGAAGAAAATCGCAACCAAGACTTGTGATGCACATTCATGTCCCCAAGCAACACAATTCCCATGAAATCCCCACCCAACGCAGCATGCTCCTCTGCACAGCTAGTTATACTTTCGAATTCCCTGACAGGCGGTCTGTACCATGCTCCGATCAAGTACGGCCCTCGATCCGTGTGCAAAGCACACCACAGCCTCTCCGCCACGGCAGACTTGCTCACGCACGTTACCTGAGCAGCAATTGCACGAGCTGCGAAAACAACGACTCCTCCCCGGCTACTGCCGTCAGTCCTGTCTCGGCGCGCTAACTCCAGATAGCCTTCAAGATCAACGCACACAGCAGTCCGATCTAAGAAAGATTCCGTTATACAGATAATGTCCGGTCTCCCGTCGCTGATCCGCACTCGCGCGGTCAGCTCGGCAAGAGAACTGCGCAAGCCCTGTATATTGATCAACCGAAAAACCAAGTCAGCAGTGTAGAACGGAGAACTGCGAGAGAACTGCTCCCCCCCGGCCTCGCTTGCTCCGGGCTGGTCCTGCTTCAGAAAGGAGGGCTCAGCCGATGCGTCCAGCGCCAGCTTCACAACCCCCTGTCGCCGCAGAATCGTGACAGGAACGTCTCCGCTCACGGCCGCGTACTTGCCGCGACCCCCTCCGCCATTCGCCCTTGACCCCTACTCCTCGGAGCACAGCTGGTCGAACAGAGCCTTGTACTCGAGTGCCTGGCCCATGAGCTGCATCGAGCCGTTCTTCCACTCCCCGGCCCTCCGCTCCCTCCACCAGACGACGCCCTTCCGATAATATGTGTCGATGTTCTGTTTGACTGCATTCCCGACTCCCCCGTTGGCCTCTATGATGGTCCTCACTAGCTTCCTAACTGCCCTCTCTCGCCTCCCCTCCTCCGAACCTGGATCCTGCCTCCTCGAATCCGCGTTGCAGTAGATCTTCTGGCCGTTGTACGAGCTCGTATGATTACCCGCCTTGTCCTTCAGGTACCCCCACATCGCGTCCGACGTCTTGAATCGTGCTGCACCTCGTTCTGCGAACTTCTTGCCGTAAGCGAAAATCTCCTCAATGTCCTCCTTTGCCTCCTCCAGCACCCCCTCCAAGTACTTCACAATGTCCTCCGACTTTGTGTCCTTCGGGAACTGCCCGAGGCCGACGGTCCTGCTGCGCTTCTCCTCCGCCTCCTCGTCCTTCCTCCTCCTGGCCTTATCCGCACTCGACGCCGCAGCCCATGACGGCCCCTGCGGCTTCGACTGCACCTCCGACCGCGCCTGGAAGACCTTGAACTCGGCCTCCAGCTCGTCCAGCTTCTTCATGGCTGGCCTCATGCCCCGGACCTCCTTCCCCAATTCCCGGACCTCGGCCTCTGCCTTGATGGCCATCGCCTTCGCCTCACCGATATCCTTCGTCACGCTCTCGATCTGGTGCGTGGTGTGCTGCATTAGGTTCTTCTGCATCGTGATCGCCCAGGCTGGCATGCCTGGCACCTCTTCCACCTCCAACTCCTGCTTGCCCTTCTTCCTATCCGGCGACTGCCCCACCGCAGCCGGTGGCTCACGACGTTCTGGCGGTGGCATATCTCCACAACAACTCCTTTCGACGGCACGCGCGGAAGCAGTAATGGAGCCAAGACGGTTACTTGAGCCAACAACGCCTTGAGCCAGAACTGAACGAGAGACTGCGGCGAAGGCGTTAGCCCGATGATAATGAACCCGTGGACCATCCTCCCGCTTGCTCCAAGAGTCACCACCACACAAACTGATGTTATCAAATGAATTGCTCCCGTCGTCGATTATCCCGGAAGCCTACACTGTGCTTCCAGACGGCCCCAACAAACGACTTGCCTACAGGATCCAAGAGATGGACTTAACGTTCGCCTTTACATTTGACCTTATCATTGTGCTTGCCTGCCTGGCATCCTTGATTAAGATTCCCGAGATTCTGAATGGTTCGAGAAGCTCGAATCGTCATGAGGAAAAAACTGACACCGAACGTGCCTGCTCCGGTGCAGCGGCCTTCCTCGTCTGAGAAAGGAGCTGCAATGACAATGACGATGACAATAACAGTGGCAATGACGACGAGGAGAGAGGGGGGAGGGAGAAACGAGGAAGGAAAAAGTGTCGCAACGCGCTGCGGATTCAAAATGAGGACCCAACCCCACGGGTTGAGGAAAAAAATGTAAGTGCCAAGAGGGCTCCCAACATCGCCCAAGACGGCCTGAAGTGGGGCCGACGAAGGCTCCAAAAGGGCATCCGAAGACCCCCCTTGGGCGCCGCAGTGGAGGCCAAAAGAGAGAGCTCCAGGAGGGCTCCAGGGCGGCCCAAGTGCGGGCCTCGAGGCGTGGCAGGCCTCAAGATCCCGAGGAGGAGGAAGATCAGGAGGGAAAGAAACACACAGACACAATTAATCGTCGACTCCCAGGAAAATATGGGAAAATATGCGAAGTGGGGGTGAAGACAAAAACCCAGAAAATATGGAAAAGTATGGGGAATCCGGTTATTTATGTGTATGTATGTGTGTGTTTGTGGGCCCCTTCAGAAGAGGAGGAGGAAGAGGAGGTCCCGAAACAGCCCCAAGATGTCCCCAAAACAGTTCCGAGGCGCCCAGAGTCAGCCCCAGAGCGGTCCAGGAACTGGCATCAGCGAGCGGCAGGCCCCAAGATGTCCCCGAACCAGCCCCACGATGCCCCCGATGCAGCCCCGAGAAGCCCCGAGGTAGCCCCGAGGTGGCAAGCGATGGTCCAAAGCCGAATGTCTTTCTGTCATCTTGGCATTGTCGCCTTCTCGTTTCCCATGTGATTATGTGGCCTCAGAAGAGGACCCCAGAGATCCACCCAAGCGCCCCAGGAAAGTTTCAAAAGGATCCAAGAAAGCCCAAGATCGGTCCGAGGGCAGTCATCAATGGGTGGCAGGTCCCTGGATGGCCATGAAGCTCGCTCAAGATGCGTCCCTTCTCAAGTTCAGGGGTCGCCGTGGCAGGCATTCGATGGGAGCGTGGAGTGTCGCAATGCTCGTACCCTGCGGGTGTCCCTCCTCCACGCGAGGTTCGCGCGACAGCTCTGGAAAACGACCGCCACCTAGCACCCCCCAAGCCCCCGCAGGCAAGTGCCAACAGCGATACAACTGGGCCGGCGGGGTGAGCGAAGCGGTCAAACAATCGGTCGCGGCGTGCTGCCGCGGCCGCCTGCTCCTGCTGCGTGCCATGGCAAGCGCGAGAGGACGCGGCTAACCGACTTTCCGACGACTCGGCGACAGGAAATCTACGCGGGCCGCGCAAGGGCGGGAGCGGCAAAACTTCCAGGTGAGAACGGCGAAGCCAAAACGGCACTTCGCCCGCTCTCGCGCGGCCCCGCTGCCGTTGCCGCTGCCGCTGCGATCTGGCGACCGAAACCTGCGCCGCGCCAGCGCGGGAATGCCACTGTCAAGCGACATGTGCACGCAGTTTGGGCAGAGGCGACAGGTCGCCCGCTCGCGAGGGGGCCCAAAACTAGGCGAACGAAAGACATGCGCCGCGCTGCGGAGGGAGCGCCATTTTCAAGCGAAAGTCGCGCGGCGCCGAAAAGAGAAGACATGTTCTTCCGCTCACGCGTCGACGAACTGGCGGGCGAAAAAAGTGCGCCGCGCCCGAGTGGGAGCGCAGTTTCCCCAAAAAGGTAAGGCAGCACCGAGGCGAGAGTGACATTTCACTTGTTCGCACGGGATGTGCGGCCCGTCCCACTGCTTCCATGAAACCTGCGACGTTGACGACAGAACGTCCTCCATGATAGAAAAACAGCTTCGCATTGTCTTTAGATAATACGAAGGAAGCCCCAGATGGTGCTGCCATCGGTCGGCTAGTTGGCAGTAAGACTGTATGCAGTAGATGTGTATACATACACACATACATGCATACATGCATACATGCACACATGCATACATGCCACATGCATACATCCATACATGCATACCTACCTATCTACCTACCTACGTACATACATACATACATACATGCATGCATGTATACATACATACGCACCTACCTACCTACCTACCTACCTACCTACCTGAACCCTACCTACCTACCTACCGACCAGCCTAACTATCGTCATGCATATATACATACATACACACACAAACAAACATGCGTGCCAGTATACCTACATATCTACATGCCTGCATATATATACATACCTCCGTACGTATATGCATGCATACATTCATACATGCATGAATGCGTGTATACATGAGTGTATACAGGCATAAATACACACATACATACATACATACATACATACATACATGCATGCATACATACATACATACATACATACATGCATATATGCATACATGCACGCATGCATGCATATAAGCATGAATGTATACAAACAGACATACATACATACATACATACATACATACATAAGCACGTCTACATGCATACACAGATACATATATGCATACAGACATACATGCATATAAACAGACATGCATACACACATATACCTATATATGTATGTATGCATAAATGCATACATACATTCATACATACATGCACACATACATGCATACATACAACATACATATAGACAGACCTAATGTGTACACATGCATGCAGATGTACAGTTAGCCATGTGATACATGTATACGAACATGTGTACATACATGCATACGTACATGCATGTACACCTACATACATAAATGCATGCATGCATACAACCATGCATAGATACAAACATACAAACACACATACATTATAGTCATACATACAGTCACTCATTCATTCAGTCATACATACATACATACATGCATGCACACATACATATATGCAAAAATAAAGACATGCAGACATACATACATGCTTACTTACATACATAATTACACACATACGCACGTGCATGCATTCATATATATATGCTTATAAATGTATGTATATATGCATGCATGCATGCATACATGCATATATGCATACATACATATATGTATGTATTACATACATGCATACCTGCATGCATGCATACATATACATATACATATATACACACATATATACATACATATATATAAGAGAGAGAGAGAGAGAGAGAGAGAGAGAGAGAGAGAGCGTGATTACACCGCCGCCTTTACTGTGGTTAATTGCAGCCCTTGTCTCTCGGAGCCGGAGGATTTCCCCCCCCCCTTCGAAATTCCCCCCCCCCCCCACCCCCCCCCTGCTGGACCCCCCCCTCACCTCCCCGGCAAAAACCCCCCCTCCCCTAACCCTCACCCCCACCCTCGAAATCGACGGGGGGTCCTTTCGGTTGAAACCCCCCCCCCCCCACCCTCGTAAACGAAGGGTGGGGGTTACTACGGGTTCGCTCCCGACTCCCCCCTTCACGCAGCAACGGACTTCAGGTCCCTGACCACGTCCTAACCACATCCCCACTGTTGTTACAAGCACCCACTGTTCACCACACTTGTCCCCACTGGTTCCACCACCGCCCCTACTGTCCCCACCAGTGCCACCACCACTGTCGCACTGTCCCCACTGTCCCCACCACTGTTCCCACCACAGTTCCACTCTCCCAACTTTATCCACGACTATCCCCACTGTCCCCACTGTCCCACTGACTCCTCCGCTGTCTCACTGAGCTGTCCCACTGTTCCCACCACTGTCCCCACTGTCCCCACCACTGTCCCCACTGTACCTCTGTCTCATTGTCCCACCGCCGTCCTCGCCACCGCCTTCACCACTGTCCCCACCACCACTGTACTCTCCACTGTCCTACTGTTTCCACCACATTCCCACTGTCCCCACACCACTGTCCCCACCACCACCGTCCCCACCACTGTCCCACTGTCACAACTGTTCCCACCATTGTCCTCACCATTGTCCCCACCACTACCGTCCCCACCACTGTCCCACTGTCCCCACCACTGTCCCGCTGCCCCCTCACCACTGTCCCCACCACCACTGTCCCCACCACTGTCCGCACCCCCCCTCGGTTTTCGAGGTGGGGGGGGGGGGTTCGAACCGGGAGTGACCCCCCCCAGTTTTTCGAGTTCGAAGGGGTGAGTGGGGGGGGGTTCGAACGGCCAAAGACCCCCCCCCCTTTTCATGATGAACGGGGGGGGGGGAGGGGTTCGAACCGGTAATGACCCCCCCCGGTTTTCCGGAGGGGGAGGGGGGGAGGGGTTCGAACCGGTAGTGACTCCCCCCGGTTTTCCGCCAGCAGCGGTAGAACACGCTCTTTCATATATATATATATATATATATACACACACACGTGCATGCATGTATGCATATATATATATATATATATATATATACACATACACACATACACACATACTTTATGTACTTACATACTTGCATACATGCATGTGTTAGTATATAGATCGCGGGCGCTCCGCATGCGCTGTTTTTCTAGGCAGCACCATGCGTTGGAGCCAAGCGTCATGCACGAAGCGAATGCGGCCAGCCTCCAGAAGAAGCCGGAGCTGCCCCAGTCATCGAACGCTCCTCGAGCACCGAGCTCGAGTCGCCGGAGGCAAGCGTGCGCCGCTCGAGTCCAGCAGAAGGGGCGTTTGGCACTGCTGGCCGTCGCGTCTTCCTCGCTCTGCCACCCGTCCTTCTTTCCCCCCAGGCCTCTGAACAAAAAATAGCGAACACGCATGCCACAGTCATCGGTCGACGCCTCCCCCTTTCCCAAGTGTTCAATGTTGGCAGCGGGTCTGACGAGTTGCACTTCGACCGCAGCCTCCTCCGCGTTCCAACCTTGAACTTCGGGGAAAAGGGGGAGTACCCATGAATTGTTTCCCTCTAACGTCGCATGCCCGTCCTCGCTCATCTCATCTGTCTCCATCTCGCAACAATGCCTGTGATGCGCGTCGGCGTGTATTGTAAAGCGTTTCAAGGCATTCCTTTGCGGTTCTTGAAGTTTCGTGGAGGTCATTGGGACTCTTGGGGGCCTCGTGGAAGCGTTTTGGGGGCCGCTTGGGGGCATTGTGTCGCGTCTGGTCCAAGCCCTCGTGGGACGTCGTGGGAACGTTTTGAGATCCTCTCGGGGGCATCTTGGGGGCTTTGGAGTGCCTGTTGGGGGCATTTTGGAGCATCTTGGGGTCTCTTGTGGGTTGCTGGGTGCTCCTGAGGCATCGTGATGGTTTCTTGGGGCCTCTTGGGGACCTCTTGGGAGCCTCTGAAGCGTTTCTTGGGAGCTTCCTGGGGGCGTCCTAAGGGACTCTGGGGGATGATGCTTGGGGCTTCTTGGAAGCCTCGGAAGCGCCTCTGACGAAAACACTAGAAGGCCCAAATTGGTTTGACCTCGGACCTCTCTGATTTGGTTTGCGGAGCTGCGCGCGCACTACATTAAGGATGGCAGCAGTTCCCCAGCCAGATACTTTTTGTAATGATCGGGCCTCACTTTCCGAGACGCCCAGCATAAGAGCTTCGAACAAACTGGAAAGCTTAAGCACGACACGTTGGGCTTCCCGCTCTTCGGGAGCACGGCTGCCCCCCGAGGGCGAGGTCTTGAGCCAGAATGGCGACCGAGGGAGAGCGGGGGGGGTGGTACGAAGTGCGCTGGGTGGGGAGTTCGGGGAAGAGGGAGGGGACGGATGGCATTGGCGGTGAGGGTTCCGGGCGCACAGTGCCTCAGGGAGTGCAGCGGAGCAGAGCACCTGGGAGCTGGGAGTCGGGGGTGGGATGGTTCGGGAAACAGCTAGAATCGTGCATGGAGTCTAGGCGCTAGCTTGTTGCTTCTGCTTGTGAGCCGTGCTAAACCTGTCACTGCACCGACCTTGCAGACGTGCTGCAGGGACTTTGTGCGTGGATTTCTGCCAATACAAAACCCCGAAACGGCGAGCGAAAAACGAAGTGAACTTCATGCGGATGTTCTGTAGTCTTCATTCCTGACCAAAAATCCGCACGAAATTCACTTCGCAATCCTGAGCGAAATTATCCAGGACACTCCGGGCCCATCCTTTTATTTTCCGGACGACGTCCGCTCTGCGATGTTGGCGCCATGAAACCTGCCGTGCTCTTTGTGCTGTCCTGACAGCTTCTTCGGAGGCCTATTATTAAGTCGGGCCTGTCCCCCTACAGGGGGATTTTCGACGAAAAAAAAAAAAAATACCCCAAAAATAGTCAAAAAATACTCCAAAAATAGTCTGGGGATTATTTGTGGGGTCTTTTGTTGACC